AGAAGGCTCTTCCCGTCGCTAAAGCCCTGCCGGAGTCGCCCCCCACCCTGGAGCTGGCCACAGGGGTCCGCCGGGTCCACTCCCCGTGGGAGGCCCTGGGTTGTAGGTAGGAATGCAGACGGGAGGCCACCGTCTAGGAGGGAGCAGCGCAGTGACACCAGGGGCTTGTGCTTTTTGCGGGTGACCAGCCACACAGGGGAAGTGACCGAACCGAGTCCCGTAGAGGCCCTGCCCGCCCTTTTGTCCCAGACCAGGTTCTCCCTCTGTCCCCTCCTCTCCCCGCTCCTCTAAACCTTCTGCAGCCCGTCACCGCCCCCCCCCGCCCCCCGCCCAAGGGTTCTTCGGCCTCCAAACAGGTGCACAAGTCTCTGACCCTCAAAACGCACCGGAGGAGGTGCCGGGCCCAGGCCTTCCTCCTCCCGTGGGGTCTCCTGCGCGCGCACTGCCTCCTCCCACCTCCTGGAGTCAGAAGATCACCTGTTGATGGAATCCGGAAGGGTGGCGTCCTGTGTCTGTACGGGAGTGGGGGACACGGAATGGGAAGGGGCTGGAGGGAGCCCGCTGCAGTACTGACAGTCGCCTACAATTCATCAGGTGGTGATCTCACAGGTGTGTAGAGACAGGTGAAGAACAATGGAGCTGTAAACTTAAGATACGTGCATTTTTTTTCTAAATTATATTCCTTTTTTAAGGAACCCAAAATGGTCAGCCAGAAGTTCTCTTTTTCCGGCAGCCTCACCCATTCAACTGCTCTTTCGCGGCTGGCTGCTGGCCACGCCCTCCTTTCTGATGCCCCGCCCCCAGCTCTGCTCCCCCCACCTCGCGGGCCGCCTCCCCGCCCCGGGTTTGGAACTCTCAGAACGCACGTCTCCAGCTCCACCTGCTTTCAAGCTTTCTGTCGGTGTTCCTGCTGTGCTCTCAGGCGTCCAAGCAGGCAACCTCGCAGCCTCCTGACTCCTCTGTCTCTCTCAGCGAGCTAAAAACAGACCGTGTTCTGAAACGGTTCAGTCATCCTTGCCTTCTGGATGCCTCCTGCCTGGGTTGTTGGCATGGCTCCCTAACCCTTCTCCCTGTCTACTGTTGCCAGATTCACATCCCTCAAGTTCACATCCATGGGGATCCTCTCCCCTAATCAGGCGTGTCTCACATTGTAGGTGCTGGCAGATAAAGTCAGGCAGGAGATAAGCACTGAATTGGTCGGGCCTGTGGGGAATTACAGCTTCTGTATGGCATGATCATTCCCATTTTACAGATAAGAAAACCAAGGCTCAAGAATAATGAGTTGCTTGCAAGTAAGAACAGCTTTCTGCACCCCAAGTTTTTACAGAATCACCTCTGTGTCCTCCAGCATCAGCTGCTGTGGAGTGGATCTTTGGATCTTCTCCTTCCTCTCTGTGCTTGGAATTCTTTTTTTTTTTTTTTTTAATTTTTTAACATTTATTTATTTTTGAGAGACTGAGAGGCAGAGCATGAGTGGGGGAGGGGCAGAGAGCGAGGGAGAGAGAGAGAGAGAGAGAGAGAGAGAGAGAGAGAGAGAGAGAAACCCAAGCAAGCTCTACACTGTCAAGTGCAGAGCTCAACTTGGGACCCGATCCCATGAAAGGTGAGATCACGACCGGAGCTAAAACAAGAGTTGGATGCTTAACCGACTGAGCCACCCAGGCGCCCCTCCCTGTGCTTGGAATTAGAATATCAAGCTAGTTCATACCTCTGGGCCTTTGCACATGCTATTTCTTCGGCCAGGAATGACTTGCCCTCAACAAACTGTTACATTTCAAGGCTCAGGTCAAGTATCTTTGAAACTCCTTCCTTGAGGACACCAGACACATTCCCCTCCCTCCTTTGTCTCTAGTTCACACTGAACATCTCACACCGGATTCTGGATTGGGATGAACCATTTGCTAGGTCTGTCTGAGTCTTTCCCCTAAGCTGTGAGTCCCTGGAAGCCAAGGTCACACCTCACGTTTGAGATGTATAGTCACCATTACTGAGCACATATAAAGTGCCTGGCTGTAGTGAAGGCTAAAGGCATGGGCTACGGAGGCAGGCAGGTTTCTCTGAGCCTCAATGTCCTCATCTACAAAACGGGCATCCTTACCCACCAACCTCATAGGATCGTTAGGAGCAAAGGGTTGGGAACATGGCGTGGCATGGAGAACCCGTACGTTGTTCTGTCATCTCACCTAATCCTATCACCCTCTGAAGCAGGTATCATCACCCCCATTTTACAGAAAAACCAGGACCCAGACAATGCCCAAGGTCACAGAGGGGCCAAGCTGGCCTTCGGGACTCCAGCCCTGTGCTCCCTACCCCTCACCCCAGCACTCTACTCTGCTTCAGCTCAGCACCTGGCTTCCCTGGCTCCCTCCCACACAAGCCCAGTCAATGTTTGTTTGTTGCATGAATGAAAATGATTCACCAAGTGGCATGTTTGCCCCCTCCAGTCTGGGCAAAATTTCCGGGTGATTATCTGGCGAACTTAATAAAAATAAACCGTGTGCATGGTTGACGCATCCTGGTCACCTCTGGTCTCAGTTAAATGTCAGTCCCTCAGAGACTGTCAGGCACCACCTGCTCCCTTTTACATTAGCTCACAGAATAAGAAACGGGAAGGATGAGCCAGAAACCAGCGAGGATCATGGGTAGGAACAGGGTGAGGGGAAAGGAACAGGAGCGATTCTCACTTTTTATATAGCTTGACTTTCATCTATGTAACAACTCCAAAATAAAATGAAAACACGAGGATGGGGGAAGAGCGCTAACTCATTGTTAAAATCAATACAGGGGTGCCTGGGTGGCTCAGTTGGCTGAGCATCCGACTTTGGCTCAGGTCATGATCTCGCGGTTTGTGGGTTCAAGCCCCGCGTTGGGCTCTGTGCTGACAGCTCAGAGCCTGGAGTCTGCTTTGGATTCCGTGTCTCCCTCTCCCTCTCTCTCTCAAAAGTAGATA